AATTAATGCATTTAATTAGATCAACCATAATGACCCATAGAGCTCTATATAGGATAGCTGTCACATAATCTAGAGTTAAATACAAAAATGAATACAGTAATAAAGTTGCTGTCCAAATAAGTTATTAGGAACATCATCCCAATAAGAGTGCCAAGGATGGATTAATAGACATGTTTCATCGTAAACATTTTTAATTGACTGTTTCCATTTGGAGAACGAAGATTCGTTATAAAATGATTTTTAAGAGAAAGTGTTCTTTTCTTTCTTTTACCTTTACTCTGATGCCAACTAGTTCTCCAAAGTTGTAGACTCCAGAACTCCATAGAGATTCTGCCCACCCCAAATTCCCACTCTATTATTTTCTTTGTAAGACCATTATTGCCCTGAGTCAGTTTTAATCAGCTTGGGGTAAAAGACCTTTTGCAATTATGACTATGAGCTCAGCAGACTTTGACAGATATAAGCCAAGCAAGGAAGCTAGAATTTACTTAAAGAAAGGAAAACACTAAAACATTTCCATCCCAAAATGACTATCATTATGCAAATTATACATTTTTGATGCCAAAAATAGAGGGAGAAACTTCTCAACTCAAAAAATAAAATAAAATAACTGTAATTATTCAAATTATATACATATTTAAAGCTGACTAACTAATCAAAACCATTTGAACTCAGCAAGAAATTTGTAGACATTTCTATCAGCTATGAAATAACTAGGTTTGCATTAATTTATAGGAATGGGAAAAGGGTCAGATCCCTGGATGAAGTTGACTGCATTAGACCCAGGAGATCTCCAAGTGCTTTTATGCACAATATCTCAAGATCTATGAAACATACTCTTGAATTGATAGAAACCCCCATCCTTAAGCAAGTATCTATTTTCATGGTTAATGAAAATAGCTAGCCAAACTAGTCAAAACAATGCTAAATCATTGTTTTGGGTAGTTTGTTGGACAAGCTAGATTCTCACAGCTCAATTGCTATCCTAACTTCTATTGTGGCATGGCTTGGCATGACACCTGGAAAAGGAACATGGTCAAGCAGACTGCTACAATTACCATGTGTAATTATGGCTTTGAGTTTGATCAGCTCACCTTAACCACAGCCCACATATCATTCAAATCTAAACTAACGGTTACTTTATAATTCTTAAGCTTCCAGTAATGTGACGTGGGATACAGGAATAGCTGCTCCTCTACCAACAACATCTCCACTGCCCCTACTTTGTTCTTACTCCCAAGGAGTATATGAAATGCTTAAAAGACATTTACCCTTCTTACTGAACATCATGGGCTCCTGTTCTTGTGTAGAAACAAACAAGCAAGCAAACAGGAAACACTGCAAATGCTTCTGAGATATTGCTCAAAGAGAAGGAAATTGATCCATATGCGTGGGTCAAGATTCCATGTTGAATCTTTTTTAGCATTAGGAAGGATCCCCCAACACACTCACAGAGCATTTATGGCTTGTTGGATTAATTCCAGATTGGTTTCCCTGATATTTAACAATAGCAATAGCAATATTTAGCAATAGCAATAGCAGTTGGACTTATACACCGCTTCACAGTGTTCTACAGCCCTCATTAAGCAGTTTACAGATCTTCACTCAAATGAACTAATTGTCTCCTGCAAAACCCCACTCCCCTTTCGCTCCTATTTTATTCCCTACGGGAGGGGCCACTCACCGTCCACTTGTGGCTTTACTCCCAAGTCAGCCCTTGTTCCTCAGCTGTTCCCTTCTTCTAGCAGCTCTGTGCATGCACACACTGGGAACAGGCTCTAGCTGTTCTTCTGCCTCACTGATGTCCAACTCTGAAGGCAGCTGATAGCTGTCAGACGGCCCTGGCTCCATCTCTGCCTCCGATGCAGAGCACTCGTCAGAGCCTTGCCCAGACCCCAGACTCCAGGACTGGCCCATGTGCTTCCCCAACCTCCTCACTGTCCGAATCTGCTGCCAGCTCCACTGGCCACTAGCGGGACACAACAGCTCAATATATCTGGCAGGCAGGTTGGGGAATAGGCTACTAGGTTGGGAATAGGCCACGAGGCATCAACTATGATTGAAAGCAAAATAAGAGGGCACTCATCACCCACTATTGGTTTTCTTGAGTAATGATGCTCCCATTAAAGTAGCTATTTTAATAAGTATAGCAGCAAGTGACATTTCTGAAAGCCCACCACTTTGGCAAAAATAAACTTTAGCAGAGTTTACTTCTGTAACTGAGTTCATTGCAAACCTGGATGTAGACCATTGCAGGACCGTACTCAAATGTAGATTGGGCTGGAATGGCCCTTATTCAACTGGATCATGAGGTGGCACTGGAATCGGTTGTATCTGGAGAAAACCAGGCCTTTCCTGGAGTGTCCAATGATTATTTAACAGGCCGCCGGTTCACTTAGCTTCCTGACTGACTTAACCTTCATGGAACTTTCCCTTCAGCCATCTCTGAGCTCATTTGAGTAAACTAGCATCTTGGACTTAAAGCCAAAGTGAACATTACCATTGTGTTGGAAAGTATTTTTTTAAAGGTCTGTAACGGTGCATGAGAAAGGCCTTGGGAAATGGAGTGGGAGGAAGAGATGCTGCTTAGAGAAAGGGCCAGATAAGAGAGGCCATAACCAGCAGCTGCATAATGGACAGAGAAAGAGGCTCAGGAAGGACCCGCCCTAACTTCTCAGACTGTGAAGGAGAGGGCTAGATATGTGTATTTTCACACTTGCAAGGTTCTGTTCATGGAGCTTTGCAATAAATAGCTCATCTAGTTGTTTCCGGTGTGGTCTTATCTGGGAAGGCTGATGACGCACTTTAATCCAATTCTCTACCAATGGATGAGGTTCATCATTACTGTGCTTGCTTATCCTGCTCAAGCTGGCTCAGTAGATTACTAAATTTAGTAGACCTGCTAAATTTGGCCCACCCCAGACTCTAACCTTCCTGCCAATTACTGTGTTTGAACTTATTCATCCGGGTGGGAAAGGAATACAGCTCAAGAACTATCATGTTTCTCCAAAAAGAAGACCCACTTTGAAAAGAAGCCCTATCATGTTTTTGAGCACATGTGATCAAATTAAGCACCACCCACAAAATTAGCCCTAATTAAGATCCCACCCATCCCAGGGTGCAGGGAGTGGGATGAGGCATACAGGTAAAAAATAAGCTAGGGTGGGGGTGTGGGGGGTGGAACTGCCCTACTTATCAGGCCTCGCACACCTTGATACCTGCCACGCCTTCTTCTGTGGCCACTTCTGCTGCGGCTGCTTGCCTCCACTCGCATGCATCACCCTGGCCTCCATTTTGCCTTCAGATGCCTTCCGGAAAGCCCTCTGCAGCTGATAATAGAGCTCTGGAGCTCTGTTATCGGCTGCAGAGGGCTTTCCGGAAGGCATCTGAAGGCAAAATGGAGGCTGGGGCGATTTGTGTGAATGGCAGTAAGCGGCCGAAGTGGGCCAGAAGTGGGCTCCTGCTGGGTGAGGCTGACAGTGCCACTGCTGTGAGATGAGTCAATAATTAGAACAGAGGATGGTATTCAGCAAATTCTGACCAGTTCTGGAGAACCGGCAGCGGAAATTTTGAGTAGTTCGGGGAACCGGCAAATACCACCTCTGACTGGAGATTTTACAGTATCCTTCCCTTGCCACGCCCACGAAGCCACGCCCACAGAACCGGTAGTAAAAAAAAATTGAACCCCACCACTGAATTAGAACCCTCCAAAAAGAAGGCCTAGCTGGTTTTTTTTTTATGGGTCAAGAGAAAATAAGACCCGCCCTTCTTTTTGGCGAAACATGGAATTAGTCCTCGGCACATGATTAGATGCTACTGGAAGGCAGGACTTTCAGAGAAGAAATACCACTGCTGTTTCAGCTGTTGCTGCAGTAATTCTTTATGAACAGAGAAGCAAATGTTTTTTTTTCTGATTAGCTGAAATGGCGGAACACTATTCATTTACGTCTGACAGGGAAAACAAGGGATGAATTGGTAAACCAGCAAGTGTAGCTCATCTTGGAAAGAGAAGAAGGTGGCCTGACTTGAGGAACCTCAAAAGAAGCGAAAAAACAATCTCAGATCTTCTTCAAGATAGGTTAAGCTCCCACACTGGAAGGCCTCCATCCTTTTTGTTCCGTTTGGTGCTTCAGGAAGCTTCTGAGGTCCAAATGCATGTAGAAAGACTGACCACAACCCACGGTGAGATATTGTGTAAAGGCTGAGGAAGCAGTGGAAGATTTTGACGGGCGAGTCAGTTGAAACCTTATCCCATCATCGGGCAACTCAGTCCAGGTGAGGAGAAATGTGGGGAAAAAGCATCTTCAAAGTGACTGATAATAAACGAGGCTGGAAAATTCCTAACACACTTTCCAAGGTTCTATATATTTACTCCAAACAAATAAAGAGACTTTACGTGAATCATTTTTAATTCTTTGGTCTTGCCCAGCTACGAGAAACTTGACAGCTACGGAGTCGTGCTTCCAGCTTTTATTCACCTGGAAATTTAAAAGAATCATGAACTGCATTCCTAGGACATTTTTACAATTTCTCCTTGAAGAAGGGTCGATGGTCAATGCCAGACACCCCAACGGATTCCACATGGGCACAGTAGGAACTTGGGGAGGGAACGGAGGCAGTTTCCTTGGGAAGATATTACCGGCAATGTGTGAAGAGTTGGCATCGTATAGAATGCTGAGGAAATCTATAGAATATATGACGTTTTCAGGCAGACTATGAAATGTCTGTGTTACTTTAAATATTCTATTCAGGTAGTCCTCTACTTGCAACCAAAATGGACCCCAACATTTCTGTTGTTGAGACAATTATTAAGCGAATTTTGCCTCATTTTACGACCTTTCTTGCCACAGCTGTTAAGTGAATCACTGCAGTCGTTAAGTTAGTAACATGGTTGTTAAGCAAATCCAGCTGCCCCATTGACTTTGCTTGTGAGAAGGCTGCCAAAGGGGATCGCATGACCCCGGTCATAAATATGAACCAGTTCCTGAGCATCTGAATTTTGATCAACAGTCGTAAGTGTGAATAACGGTCACAAGTTACTTTTTTCACTGCCGTTGTAACTTCAAACGGCCACTAAATGAACTGTTGTAAGTCAAGGACTTACCTGTATAAATCACCCAGGCATTATATATAATACCTAGGCATTATGCAGAGTGACAAGAACTATTTAGGCAAAGTATGAAAAAAGAGTCACGAAAAGGGTTAGGCTAACCCTTTTCATGGCTCTCTTTTCATACTTAACCTTAACTAACCCTTTACTGAAAAGACATATAGGAAAATGAAAGAAGAAATGCAATGCAAAGTGCAGGACTTTCCTACTGGAAAAAATAAACAAGAAAAAAACACCATTACTGACCTACTTGTTGCAATAAGGGGGAGGCTAGAATGGCTTTTCGGTGGGAGCATTTTATACTTTGCCTGTTTGCCTTTTGGCATGGTGTCGAGTGCCTCGGAAATCTGTGAAATATGAAGTGTTTCATGCTTCAACGTCCCATTTTTGGCTTTCTATACATTTCCTAGGGCAGAGTTCCCCAATGTTTTCGGCTGTGCGGACCGGCAGGAGGGAGGGGAAGAGGGGATGTTTCCGTGCAAGCTGCCGACAAGTGCGTGTGCGCAATTCCATTCGTGTGAGCGGTGTGCATGCACACTTGCCACTCACTTAAAATGGAGTGCGCGTGTGTTGGCCGTTTCCACAGCCTGGGTACCAACCCCTCACAGCCCATTAGCGGGCTGCAGCCTACAGGTTGGAGGCCCTGTCCTAGGCCGTCTAGAAAATGCCCAATTTCACACATTGAGGCTGACAAATACATGAAGGTCCCAACTTCAATCTCAAATTATTTCTATCACAAACGGAAAACACATTTCTCTAAGACCTTGGAGAAATTCTGCCCGTCAGAGGAGACCAAGCTGAAACAGACTTATAAATACACTGGGCAAACCAACCATTTCATTTTCCAACCTGAGCAATACCTTCCCAGCAGCAGTTTCGGGCATCACCCAGCTTTATAAGCCCTGACATAAAAGCTGCTTTCGTTCGTTTCAAAACAGGCACAATTCCGCCTGTCCTTCTAGAATTCTAATATTTGACTGAAGACCCCAAAAAGCTACTTGTACTAGCACTGATGATGTTACCTAGTTTGGGTAATGAAACGTCTGCAAGAAAACAAGCCAGATCAAGAGAGCACCAACGATCCCTCTTAGCCACTTGTCCATGCCCATCGAGCAAGAGTCCAACTCTCAACCATCTCTCTTATCCACCCTAATGTTTAGGAACGGAGCACGTTCGCCATCTTGACAGAATAGGACAAACAGCAGTCCATTTCTCCCAAGTAGTCCTTGGGTTTGTCCATCTCCTGAACAGCAAAGCTGCCTCCAGGTGTCTCCTTTGTTAGGTTGGCTTCAAAAGAAGAGGAAGGGCAAACACGGCAGGTTTACAAGGGGCCATTCGGCTGCTCTTTTTCAGGCTGTACAAGATCTTGATAGACAAGAGAGCGGAGGAATCGAGGGTAAGAGTCCTTCTCCATCAACCCGAAGATCCTCTTCTGGGCTTGGTCAAAGCAAGACCGGGTGGGGAGCAAAATGTTCCGATTGGTGACATCTCTGGTCTGGGAATCAAGGTTCACCTGCAATTAAATGCAAAGGATTATCTACAGCATACAAAGTGGCTGCAACCGTGATGACGCAGGGTGGGATACAAAACAAACACAGTCACAGAAAACAGGTGAAGCCCCTTTTATTCCTTCACTTTGCTTCCAAGGCTCTAAATATCCTTGACGGAAGACAAAAAACACTCCCACACAAACAGTTACACGAAGAAGGAAAAAAAGAAACACAAACCAGGCAAGATAAGGGCTGGAAGATCTCCACAGATAACACACAAACTCAGAGAGGAACTATAAACTAGAGATATCTACACGCTTTGTTTGCAGAGTTTGCCAGTACGCAGGTCCAAACTTTTATTCAGTTGTCACAGCTGCAGCCCATGAAGAGGATCAAGGCCCTCTCCTCCCGAGTAGACCAGTCTCTCCCTTATCCTCTCCTCCCTGCGTGCCCTAGGATGGATAAGGGATGGGCCTGGGTCCTCCTCTGACTGCCCAGCCGGCCTCTGCCCTTCCCCAGCCTCCTCCACAACCACCGGAGCCACACTTCCACTCCCTGCCGGCTGTTCCTCCTCTCCCTCAGAGTCAGTCTCCACCAGGGGCATGACAGCAACTCTGATTTGTTTAAACATGAATGAAACTTATCTGCAGGAGCATGAAAAAAAAAATCCCTCAGGGGTTGGAAACTAAGATGTTGTGAGTTCAAAACTGAGAAACCTGATCGTCCCAGAGATGCTTTTTTTTTCAGGAGGCAACTGGACTTTCTTGTTTTTTCTTTTGAAAACGTTTCGCTTCTCATCCAAGAAGCTTCTTCAGCTCTGACAGGATGGTGGGGAGTGGAAGCAGTGGTGGTATTCAAATACCGTTGCCACCGGTTCGGTGGGTGTGGCTTGGTTGGTGTGCTTTGCGCACGTGCACGTGCTTTGTATGCACGCGCTTTGCCTGCACGTGTGCACCAAACACGCACTTTGCGCAGGCGCAGAGGCATTGTAACTCGCCTCCTGCAAGCCTGCACGATGGTGGTCGCTGCAGCAGCTGCCCCGCGGCGCTATTCTGCGCTGCGCAAAGCAGCTGTGCTTCGAATTCTGGCCACAAAAGTGAGTATGGGAGCCCGGGCGGGCGGGTGGGCCAAACACAGAGCAGCGGAGAGAACCGGTTCGGTCTCCGCTGCTCATGGCCGCTACCGGCTCTCCAGAACCGGGCAGAACAGGTCGAATACCACCACTGGAGTGGAAGGATTTATATTCCTTGCAGACAGCTGGACATCCTGTCAGAGTCGGAGAAGCTTCTTGGATGAGAAGCGAAATGTCTTCAAAGAGAAAAAAATAAGGAAGTCCAGTTGCCTCCTGAAAAAAAAAAAAAAGCACCTCTGGGACAACCATGACCTGGATGACTGAGAATATCTAACAGACTTTTAGCGATACAATTTGGGATGAACACCCTTTGAATGGTGTGGGAGCAGGAATGGATTTCCAGATGGAAAATTGCAGACTACAGGAACCATAAGCACTACTCAGGTGACCCTGAGGACACAGATAAACCTCCAAGTGGCCTCAACGACTCTCAACAAAGAATGCAAATGACCAGATGTCTGCAAGGAGTATAAATCCTTCCATTCCCCACCATCCAGTCAGAGCTGAAGAAGCTTCTTGGATGAGAAGCGAAACGTCTTCAAAAGAAAAAAAACAAGAAAGCCCAGTTGCCTCCTGAGAAAATAGCTTTGGGACAACCATGACCTGGATGACGGAGAATCTCTACAGACTTTAAGAAAACTTAATCCCAATGGATATAGATTTTTTTAAAAATAAATGCTGATCCAGAACAAGTGTTGACACAGGCAACGTGTTAGTGGATTTCCTTCCTTTGAGTTGCATCTGGCTGAAGAAATACAGGTAGTCCTTGACTTACGACCACAATTGGATCAGAATTTCTGTGGCTAGGCAAGGCGGCTGTTAAGTGAGCTATGCCTGATTTACAACCTTTTTTTTAAAAAAAAAACAACAAGATTAAAATGGTAAATAGGGTTTCCTCCCTGAGCAAGGGGGTTGGAGCAGAAGACCTCCAAGGTCCCTTCCAACTCTGTCATTCTGATTGTTATGTGAATCACTGCACTTGCTAAATGAACCTTGCGGTCCTTAAACGAATCTAGCTTTCCCCATTGACTCTGCTTGCTTGAAGTCCCATGGGAAGATTATAAATGGCAGTCATATGAATGACCCTTAGGGATGTCGCAAACATCATAAAATACATGCTTGGTTGCCAAGCACCTGAATTTTGATCACGTGGCTGTGGGGATGCTATGATGGGTGGAATGCAAGTTTTATGTCACTATGTTTTCAGTGTCTTTGTAACCTCGGATGGTTGATACACAAATGGCCGTATCCTGGCCTCGACGACCCTGTTTGAGTATTAATGTCATTCTCTGACTTCCTCTTTGCCTAAACTCTTGAAAACAACAGCAGAGCCCAGCGACTCTCAGTATGGTTTAGAGAAAAACACCTGGGGAAATGCATTCACCTCCTCCATCCTCCACTGTGAAAGCACATAATAGTTTTGCATCTTTCATTTCGTTGGCATCTCTTCCTTTCGAGCTTTCCATAGGAGACACGTGGATCTTGCTAAAACACTACAAAAAAAGTAAGTTCAGTATGATCGGCCACCAGCGTGAATATACGAGACTGGATACCTGTGCTTCGCTACAAAACTATGTGATGGGGCTTAGTTTTTGGGGAGGAAAATAAGGGGAAAAAATTCTGCCTCTGCCTACCAGCATCCATCGGTATTCATCTGACTAGCGTCCTGTCAGTGTGTGAGAGAGTTGAGAGCTGTTTGGAAATTGAAACAGTATTTGCTGTGTGAGCAAGAAGAAGACAGCAAGGAGCCTGGGTGTGGCTTAGCTCAACTGTTCTGTACTAAAACTGCTAGGCGCTGTGAAAGTAAAATGAAACTGAAACTCTTCTCCTCTGCTTGTGCTTTGCATTTGGAACAGATTTCTTTTCAGGTGGGGAGGAGTAGTAGAATGCCATAGCATCAGAGTGTGTAAATAATAATAATAATAATAATAATAATAATAATAATAATAATAATAATAATAATAATAATA